CTGGGCGGTCCAGAGGCGTGCCCCACATTGCCCCGCCCCCACCCGCCCTCCCCAGACCCCGCATTCTTTCTCGCGCCAACTCACATGCGCTAAACACAGAGCGGGGTACGGGTGACGACTGACCAGAAGTTGCCTGGACCTCTGGGGTGCCCCTCATGACCCCCCTGTGACTCCCCTGACTGCACCCCAGCGCTCTCATGCCCCTCCTCCCTCCTATCATCAGATCTCTCATACCGCCAGTTGGTTGCTCTGGAGGCAAGTCTCATAACTCTTTTTGCTGGAAGAGTCATTTGAGTTTGAGCAAAGGCCTTTGGGTTTGGCTCATAACTTGTTTGCTCCACAGAATAAGTTGTTCTGGAGACTTGGGATTTCAAGGCAACTAGCGGTGGGTCATGCTTGGAGGTAGCTGGGCACGTCCAGGGGAGTCGGGGGGGGCTGGGCGTCAGCGGGAGCAGTCCGGGTGACTGCCCCCACCCACGCTTTCTTTTGCAGAGCCCGGCGCGCCGCCTGGAGGGGCAACACAGTCTGTTTGTTCTTTGTCTTTACCTTATCAAACCCTACTGAAACCCACAGCCACTCAGGAGAGCAGGAGGCGTGCTGCGCAAGCCCCCTCTCCCACCTGGGTGGCTCCGGGCTAAAGAACTTGCAGAATTTCAATGGACCCTGGGCAACGACACGCTCGCTGCGCGCCAAGTCCTCATGCTCCTTGGGGCGAGCGAGGATGGGCGGGCTGCTGCCATGCAAGAGGCGGCGGACGTGGCCAGCAGCCACACGACCACACGTTGGGGGCGGCGTTTGGCCAGCGGCTTCCTACAACTACTGCGGCGCGAACGTGGTGCAGGTACGGGTGACCGCCTCAGAGAGGGAGGGGGGCGCGGGGGGGGGGGGGGGGTACCGGGGGATAAAGGGAGGGGGGTACGGGGGGAGAGAGGGAGGGGGGTGCGCACGAGTACCCTGTCGCGCGCGCCACGCTGCAGGCGTGGCCTTTGCGCCGAAACTCGCGGAGCGCCTCGACCCTCGCCTCCATCTCGTCGCAGGTGGCCGGCCGCGAGGTGCCGCTGCCAGACAGCTTTGGCCGGCGCTCAAGCTCCGCCACACGGGCCTGCAGCGTCGTCACCTGCGTCGCCGTCACCCCCACTGAGCCCACCGCTGCCGTCGCCGTCGCCCAACCCGCCGCCGCCCAGCCCGTCGCCGCCCAGCCCGTCGCCGCCCAGCCCGCCGCTGCCCAGCCCGCCGCTGCCCAGCCCGCCGCCGACACACCCGAAATGACGCAAGATGGCGCGAGATGGCGCGAGATGGCGCGGCGCGCCCTACGGGCTGCACACTGCTTGCATGTAGGCTCGCGCCGCTTGTACTGGCTCTCGAGCAAAAAAAACCCGCCGCAGCGCCCGCGTTGCACCCACGCTGGGTGTGTCCTGGGCGTATCTGGGTGTGTCCTGGGTGTGTCCCGGGTGTGTCCTGCCTTACAAAAAAATCTGCGGTCGTGACGCTTGTCGATGAGTGCGTATCTATCTGTAATGTCTAATTCCCCCGGTATGCTATATAGGTCGCCAAATTCGACCCCCCTCACACATGAAGCGATCTCTGGCTGGCCCCCTTTCCGCAAGCGGAAGGTCGCCAGTCCGAAACCTGCTTCGACCCTTTATCACTGCCTCTCGCTCGAATCACACGTGCACGTGCACACACACACACACACACACACACACACACACACACACGCGCGCGCGCGCGCGCACACACACACACACACACACATACACAGCGCTCACACCCCGCCCACCCACGCGCACTGGGGGCCTTACTTTTGCTTCGCTTGTGCCCGATCGAGCTCGGCCACTGCCTTTTGAACCATCTCGCGGGCTACTCCAGCTTCCCGTGCATTGTGGATGGCGGTCCTCAAGCCAGCGATGTCCACGCTGCGAAAGAATCTCCCAGGCATTTGACTCTCCAGCTTAGCGGTTGCCTCCTTGCGACGCCGTTCCGCCCGCCGCGCCTCCTCCGCCGCCCGCGCCTCCTCCGCCGCCCTGGCCTTCGCCTCCGCCGCCGCCCGCGCCGCCGCCGCCGCCTCCGCCTCTTTGCGACGCCCCTCACTGTGTAAAGCTAACGCAATGCAAGCACCGCCGATGGCAGTTGTCCAAAAACACGCCGTCCAGAACCAATGCGGTAGCAGCAGAAGTATGATGACAAACAGGAGTATGAGCTCCAGCATGGGGCCGCCGGGCACGTAGCAGGCGGGCGGTTTTTGTTTCACGCCTTGTTATCTCTTTGCCGATTACGATTTCATGTGGCGCTTTCCCACAAGTTTTCTTAATGATTCCCCGTTGCGACTATTAGCCCCCCACAGTGACCTTGGTGTCTCAACGACGTTCTTAGTCATCACTGCAGCTTGAATTTTCACATCATTTTGACAATTAGGATACGCGTACTTCTCGCACAATTTATACTCGTGTATAGTGAGAAGTAGATCAAGTAGCCACACACACTGAGCCAATTCCTGTGTGAACTTATTTCCCTGCTCTGTACTACCATTCCCAGTAGCAGCATTCCCAATAGCACCAATAGCACATAGATGTGCAGCTATTCGTTCCATGATGCCCTCTTTGGCCTTTTTTTCCCAAAGCCAATTTGTGTCGTGCGTATCATCGAGATAAAATTGCTTTCCGCCGTCCAATAGGCCGATCGCCCTACCTACATGTTGGCCTATAGCATATGTCGCGTTGTTGTACAGCGGATACGAAAACCGTAGAATTGGATTTTTTTTGGCTCCTTCCTTCAATCGCTTAATGTGTTCGGTTGCCTTGTGGGGGGCTCTCCCGGTCTGCCGGGCTGGATTTGCTGTTTCACTGGGAACTGCCCGCCTTGCGAGTACACACTTACTCGTGTCAGGCTTGCGGCAGTGACCCATTGTTTTGCACGCACCCCTCAATTCGAGGAATCCGAGAGCGTGTCGTGTTTTTGCTAACTCCAAGAGCGCGCTGGCATATAAGCAAATGGTTCAAAACGCGGTTTGAGCTCTCAACGCCTTATTTATAACTATTTGTGGGAGGTCGTGTAACCTTTGAGCCCTTTGGACAGCCGTGACTGTTGCTTCGCTTAACATAATTGCGGCTTGCTGTTTGTTTTGACAGTCATCTGTGGAATTTCCGGTTAACTGGCGTTGGAGAATTTCTTTTTGGCGTGCTAACATAGGGGTTAGCTTTCTGTCGAACTCTGTTACTGCTTCTCTGACGAGCTTAGCCGTTGACTCGGCATTCCTCTGTGATTGAGATTTTTGCTTAGGCTCAGTTACCTTAGCCGCCAGCTCGGCAGAGTTTGACTTAGACTTAGCGTTCCCGGACTTAGACTTCTCTGACTCAGTGCCCATTTACATATTTGGTGAAAAAAAATCTTCAATTCATTCAATTACTTCAAATAGCATGGAGGGAAGGAGGGGGGTTCGCTTGCACACAACAATCCACTTCAATATATTCATTTGCCTTTTAACTTCAAAAACCCAAGTCCCACTTCACAACTTCTTCATACCCACTTCAACACACCTCAACGAGACCTCGATCGACTTGGGGGCTCAAGTGCTTTTGAATTTTTCTGAGATGAAGATATTGAAGATATTGAAGATGAAGATATTCAAGTTTTTTCATAACAATATGGCGCGGCCGCGAGATCGATGGCGCGAGCCCGAGATGGCGCGGCGCGGCCGCGAGATCGCCCGAGATGGGGCGGCTCGGTCAATCTTGCGCTATCTCGGGATATCGCGGCCGCGCCGTCTCGGGCGTCGGCACACTGGGTAGCGAGTTGATATCAATCTTGTCCTGAGATATGCCCATGTCAGCGCCGGTCAACGCCTGCGCACTCACCTGCACTGCCGACACAGCGCCACGTCAGCATCGCTCCCCGTCTGCGCTTCCACATCCTGCACTACTGTCTGCGCTGCGCCGGCGGCGCCCGCCTGTGCGTCCGCTTGCGTGGGGGGGTCCAACGGCGATGAGCCAGCCACCGGGGTTGCCCACGTCAGCGCCGCTCAACGCCTGCGCTGTCAGGTCTGTTCGGGCTTTTTTTTCAGTGAGCGGCGCAGGCCCCCATGGCAGCTACGCGCGCTCTTCGCGTAGGAAGGAGTGGGAGGGAGGGAGGGTGGGGGTGCGGGGGAGGGAGGGAGGGAGGGAGGGTAAGAGAAGTATGAGCCACTCACACGGTCGGGTAGTGTAAAGGAGAACCGATTAACTCAAACTCGACACAATCCCACTTCTTTGCCACCTCTAACAACTGTGTCGACGCCACATCACACAGCGCGAAACTTTTCACCCTAAAACGCTGCTTGTACAACACCCATTCTTTGCTCGATTCCCGGAGAGCCTTCCCAAGACCTGACAGAGTCGGCTTCCACGTCGCGTAAATTGTCTGGTGCTCCTTTGATAGCGATTCGCCAATTCGCGCAACAAGGGCAGGGATTTTCTGCGAAATCATGGCCTCATTCTTTTGGAGGTCGATAACGATATGGCAGTCTCCTCGGCTATTGGGCTCTCGATACACCGCCAGCAGGCTTCCGGGCTGGATTCGAGTTGTTTGGTACAAGTGGGGTGGGGTGAGCACCTCTGCCATTTATTTCACACGAAGAAAAAAATTCTACAGAAGGTAACCTCGAAAGGTAATTTCGAAATTCCATTTTTCAAAAAGGTAACCTGGTAACCAGGTAACCTCGGCAAAAATTTCTTCCACCAAAAAAAATTTTTTTCTCAGCCTCTGAAAAAAAAATTTTTGGTGGCCGAGTTTTCAGACCTTGTCACTCTTCTCTCCAGCCTGCTGCATCGCTGACGAACCAAACAAACTTACAAACTTAAAGTTTGTCCAGTGTCGGAAATGGAGAAACCACCCTCCCCCCCCTGCAACACCCTCCCTCCCTCCCTCCCTCCCTCCCCCCGCACCCCCCTCCCTCCCTCCCACCCTTTCTTGTGTGAAGAGAGCGCGTTTAGCCACCCCGGGGCCCAAAAATCGAATGTGTGAGTCCGCAAATGCTGCCGCTCCTGGTGAGCGCCAGCCCGCGCCGCGTGCAGGGCGTGTCCGGGGCGCCCTCCCCCCGAGTTCCCCCGCAAAATCCGGCCCGCGGTCGCGCGCGCGCTCCCGTCTCGCTGCTTTGGAGGAGTCTGCAGCCCCGGGCGCGCCCGCACGGCGATTGCCGCCTCCACTCCAACCTCATCCACTCTCACTCTGACATTCTCTCCAGAGTCCTCGCGTCGAGCCCGTGGCGCCGGAGCGCGAGCCCCAAGCTCGGGACACAGCGGGACATTGACGATCTGCGATGCCTGTGCGTGCAGGTGATCACGCTGAGCACGGCGCCGGCGGTGGCACCCTTCCTGGTGCTCCAGGCGCGCTGCGCCCGCGCGTTTGCGACGCCCGTGTGTGCCCCTGCGCGCGCCCCGCTCGCCGCGCCGCCGCCGGGCCCGTGGGGGTCTCAGGTTTGCGCGTGTGTGCCGCAGATGTCACGACCGAGCAGCTGCAGCAGATCCTCCAGAGCGTGCAGGCCGAGCTTGAGCGGCGCGCGGCGCTGCAGCGCGGGGCGCCCGAATCGAAGCGGTGCGTGCCCGCCCTCGCCGTGGCCGCGCTCGCCCCGCCTTGGCGAGCTCTTGCCCCTCGCGCGCGCCGCAGGAACTCGATCTTGTGCGCCTCGGGCAAGGCGTTGCCCAGCGAGGCGGAGGTGCACGCATGGGCGCTGCTCGTGCTGCTACATGGCCGCGGCGCGGACGGCTCGTGGGTCGCCGTCCCGACGCTCGTCGACCAGTGGATGAACGTCGTGCTGCTGCAGTCGAGTCGCTACAAGCAGGCGCCCGCCCTGCTCTCCCACCGCCCCCCGAGCCGCCGCCGCGGCTGCTACACCTCGGCTATATCTCGGCTATATCTCGGCTATATCTCGGCTCTATCTCGGCCTTGCTGCCTGAGCCGTGTGTGCGTGTTGTGCGCAGTTGCGCGAGCGATGGCAGCCTCCGACCGACGATCCGGAGTGGCGTAACTTGGCTCTCGCCAAGGGCCTCGTCCCGTCCTTGCTCAGTCAAGCCGCCGCTCGGGCGGCGGAGCCGCTCGCCCACATCACGCGCACGCTGGTGCAGCTCGAGGTCATCGACCACGACGTCGGGCAGACCGCGCTCTCGAACTATCTGAAGAACTGCCTCGCCAAGTCCAAGGGCATCTCGGGCCCGTCGTACAACCCGGCCAACGGCTCCCACACGCTACACCGGCACATCGCCGCGGCGGTGCCCGTCGCCTCGCTCCTGAAGGTGCGCGGCAAGGAGCTGCTCTCGGCGCTGCACCGCACGCGGGAGGAGCCCGAGGCGGCGCCTTCGTACACCGAGCTGCAGGCGAGCGCCGACGCGTCGGCGGCCGCCGCGCGGCGGGAGCAGCAGCGCTCCTCGCAGCTGAGGGCGCAGGTGAAGACGCTCCAGGAGGTCAGCGTCAACGCGGTGCGCAAGGAGGCGGAGCGCGAGGCGAAGGAGAAGGCGGACGCGACGGTGCAGCGCGTGCGGGCGAGCGCCGAGCGGCAGGTCGCGGCGGCGCAGGCGAGGGCCGAGGACGCCAAGGAGAACGCCGCGACGCGCGCCGAGGCGGCTTACGGCGAGCAGCTCGCGCAGGCGCAGCAGGCCGCCAAGGCCGCGGATAAGGCGAAGCGCAAGGCGGAGAAGGAGAAGCAGGCGGCCGAGACGAAGCTGCAGGACGAGAGGAAGAAGGGCAGGCAGCTGCGGGCCGAGCTGCAGGGGGCCCAGCGGGAGCTGGCCGACGTGAGCATGCAGCTCGAGTCGCAGTTCGAGGAGTCGGAGAGCGACGAGGACGGCTCGGACGAGGAGATGGAGGTGGCGATGACGGGCGAGCATGCGCTCGAGTGCATCGCTCAGATCCCGCACTTTGGCACGGTCGGCAAGGGGAAGGGCAACGGCAAGGGGCGGCATTGGCCGTACGAGATCCTGAAGCTCATCTGCGAGCTGCTCGCGGCGGGCACGCCGCCGTCGGCCGTGCCGGCGAGCATCGCTGCGTGCGGGCGCGCCATGCTGCCCTTTGTCGAGGAGCTGCGCGTGCCCTCCGTCAACTTCTGCCGCCGCAAAGCCGCCGGCGCCGGTGCTCAAGCGCAAGGCGGTGAAGCAGCTTGGCACGGCGACGAGCGGCCTCGAGGCGCTCGACGCGAAGGAGGCGGACTCGCTCGACGAGTTCGAGGCGGCCGCGCGTGCGGAGAAGGCGCGGCGCGAGGCGGAGGGCGTGGGCGACAAGCACCAGACGCGGCAGCCGCGCGTGGTGCCGGTGGTGAAGGCGGGCGACCGACTCGAGCAGCTGTGCCACTACGCGGTGGGCGAGGGCGAGGAGGAGGGTGAGAGCGCGGGGTGGATGTGGTGCTCTTGCACCGTGCTGTCCGTCACCCAGGTGCCCAAGGGCCCGCGGAGCTTCTACAAGGACGGCGAGGCGGCGAGCGTACGGTGGGACGCCAACGACCGCGTCTCGCCGGCCGAGCCCGAGTCGGACGGCTTGATCGAGCTCAAGAAGGGCAAGTTCAACGCGGACTGCGATGGCGCGTGGCGGCTGGACCTGGATGCGCCGCCGCCGCCGGCGGCGGCGGAGGACGAGGAGATGGAGGTGGAGGTGGAGGTGGAGGCGGCGGCGGCGGCGGCGGCGGCGGCGGCGGCGGCGCCGAGGCAGCGCGGGGCGCCGAAGAAGCGCGGGGCGCCGAAGAAGCGCGGGGCAACCGCAGCAGGCGTGGCGGCTGATGAGGCGGCGCCACAGGCGCGCGAGGCGCGCCCACGGCGCAATGCACGTTGACTCTGCGGCACACACATGCAGTGGATAGCGAACACATAGGGTGATGCGATACGGCGGTAGATGGCCGAGGATGCAGACGGACCGTGGTATGTGTGTTGTGTACTTTATATGCTCATATTCGATATTCCGCGTTAGACCACAAAACGGAGGGGATATGATCCGCTAAAGCAGCAGGCACACACACGCCAAGCGCGTGAGTTGTCGCTCGGGTTGCCTTAACTAGATAAGATTCCCATATTCATTAATAGCGGCTAGTTTGTCACATCACGTGGATCGATGACCCGGAATATGCCGCAAGACACGGCGCTTTCAATAAGCAACTCATTATCTTGGACGCATCCCTCGACGCGAAGAGCCATGCAGTCACCCGAATTGCTTGGGCCTCTCCTGCAAGTAGAACGAAACATTCTTGGAGCTTCCCCAGCCGCTTGTGGCCGCATCTCATCCGTGGCGACGCGCTGTTCCACCGAGCCGTACTCGGCCGCGCCGCCGCGTCGAGGCACGGGTCCCCAACCAAGCAGCGACGCCGAAGCGTCGACCGATAGAGCGCCACGCCCAGCAGTATGGGCGTCGACCGCTCTCTCGAGCGGCCGCGTGGCAGTGCGTGGCGCGGGCGTCACAGGCGGCAAGCGTGGAGCCGCTGGAAGAGCCGGTGCGAGCCGTGGACGGCAGCCGCTCCCCACGTCGCCGAGAGAGGCTGCGGGGGAGAGGGTCCAGGAGGCCACAGGAGGCGCCGGGAGGCTCGGGAGGCGCTAAAAAGTGGCCCGGGCGCCTCGTGCCACCCGTCTGGTGGGGCCAGGTGGGCTCAGGAATTAATCCAGGATTTTAAGGTGATCCACTACACCTGACCGAGAATTGGATGGCGAGATCGCGGCGAGATCGACCAGTCGGCCCAGGTCGGCGCCATGCACTGGCGGGCTGCACAGCGCGCTAGACTACGCGGAGGACGTGCGCTTACCACCGGGTGGGATTACCAGGCTCGCCTGGGCTCGCTGAGGGTCGATCGCGGCGCGAACCGTTTTCGGCTGTTTTCCTCGCGAATCTGGGGTGCGCGCCGGGAGCTGCAGCGCCAGCGTTTCGCGGACCTGTGCAGCCTCCGGGCACTGGGAACTTCTCCCAGGCTCGGGCAATGCGGACATGTGCCAGCGGGGGCGCGGAGGTGGTTTACATGCGGATGCGGCACGATCTTCGAGCCGAACCGACGATACAGGAGGCTCCAGAGGCGCCGTAATCGACAGTTGGCCGTCACCCAACTCCTCGCCCGCCGTGACTGTGGGTGTCTCCTGATTGCTCACGATCGTGGCGGAGCTCGGGGTACCACTTTGGGCCACGGGACAAGCCCTGGGGAGTCACTGTAGCTCGCGCGGGGCTGAGAAGCCCCCATTCCCGCGAAAAATCGAGATTTGGCGAGATATAGGGGGCGGTTCTCATTATTTTCGGCGGCCCCAAAGCTACCCAATCACTCGCCCACCTCCACCGAGCAGTCTAGTCCAAAAAAAACCGCGCCCCGATCAAGTTACGTTTTCAGTGTTTGCCCCTAACTCGAGCTCGCCTTTGGCGCGAAGTCAACATCTCCGTCTCCGGCCTGAGATCTCGAGGACGAGGTGCCGATGGCGGCAGCTCAAGATCTCTATCTTCAGTTAAAGACCTTTGAGTTTTGTGAGAGATGCTGTGTGTGGAAGATCTCTGATCGGCATCTACGATCTCCACTCAACAAATCTACTGGTGTCCCGCAGAGATCTCGATGTATGTGCCGTCACCGCAAGAAGTCCGCCCACTCGCCCACCACGTCTGGCGAGCCGTACCAGCGGCAGCCCAGCAGCCGCGTGCCGCTCCCGGGCACAAAGGCGATGTGGTACGCGTCAACCTCCCGCTGCTCGGCGCCGTCCAAGTGTGCGCACCGCAGCGGCGTGATTCCGTCGCCCTCGACGCCGCCCTCGCCCCCGAGCGGCAGGTACGAGGCGTACGCGAGCGCGCCGCCGACGAGGCCGGCGCCGCCGCCCGGCAGCGCGCCCCGCTGCGCTCTGCTGCCGACGGTGAGGTAGCGGAGCTCCGGGTGGAAGGCGCCGGGGTAGCGCTCCTCGACGAAGCGGAGCAGGCCGCGCGTCTGGTCGATGGTGCGGAAGAAGCCCTCCGGCGGCGGCGCGTGTGGCGTGCCGAGCGTGGCGAGGGCGGAGAAGGTGGCGGAGCGCTCCTCGGCGGGCAGCTGGCCGAGGTACGCGCGGCTGATCCAGCCGCCGATCGAGTGTGCGAGGAGCTGGACCTTGCGGCCGGGGTACTCGTTTCGCAGCGCCGCCGCGCCGGCCTCGATCGCCTTGTAGTAGAAGGGCAGCGCCTACAGGGAGGGGTCGGAGGAGGGGAGGGGAGGAGGGCGTCGAGACGGCTCACCGGCTGAGATCGAGCCGAGAGATAGTCGGGAGATAGTCGGGAGATAGTCGGGAGATAGTCGGGAGATAGTCGGGAGATGGCCGAGAGATAGCCGAGAGCTGACCGAGAGCTGGCCGAGAGCTGGCCGAGAGCTGACCGAGAGATAGCCGAGCGCTGGCCGAGAGCTGGCCGAGAGCTGGCCGAGAGCTGACCGAGAGATAGCCGAGCGCTGGCCGAGAGCTGGCCGAGAGCTGACCGAGAGATAGCCGAGAGATGGCCGAGTGCTGGCCGAGAGCTCGGCAGCGCCTTGTCGGGCGAGAGGTCGGCGCGCCAGTACTCTGGGGTTGGGATCGACTTGAGGATCTGCAGCCAGTCGGTGAAGACGAGAGGCGCGACGCCGACCGGGTGGCCGCGCGCCTCGAGGGCGGCGACGAGCTCCGCGTAGTCCGCCTCGGTCCCGAACTGGGCGGGGCAGATGAGGACCGGCTCCTTGGTCAGGGAGGCGGCCGCGGCGCGGCGCGGCGGCGGCGGCGGCGGCTGAAGCAGCGCCTCGAGCTCCGGGTCGTCGGGCTGCGGCTCGGGGACGAGGACGAAGAGCGAGCCCTTGTTTCCGCGCGAGAGGCGGAGCGAGGGCGAGAGGTAGTCTGACTGCAGCCAGCCCTTTGCGTTGTCGCCGAGCAGGTCGAAGGGGACGGGGTAGGGCAGGTTGAGGGTGGCGTTCCAGAGGGTGCGCACGAGCACGCGCCCGCCGCTGAAGCGGAAGCTGAGCCGGCTGGGCGATGGCTTGCCCACGAGCTGCGCCTCGATGGCGATGACCGCCCGCGGAGAGAGGTCGACGACGTTGTTGATGCGGCCCGCCTCGCCGCCCTCGCTCAGCTCGACGACTTGGTAGAGCCGCGAGACAGTCGACGACCCCGAGACGAGGTTTTGGATCGGGGACGGGCCGTCTCCAGAGAGATACTTGCGCCACGACTCGAGGGAGAAGAACTCCGTCCTGTCGCCGCCAGGCTTGCCCTGGTAGAGCACCCGCCAACGCCCAGGCAGCAGCGGCGAGTCGTTGGTGGCGCCAGACGTGCTGTCGGCCTCAAGTTCGGTTGCCAGGCGGTGCACCTCGGCGTCCTCGTCCGCCGTCATCGCCGCGCCGCGGCCCTCAGTGCCGGAGAGCAGCTCGAGCAGCCTGGCCTCGGCGGCCGTCGCAGAGGCGGCGGCGGCGCCGCTGGCCAGGGCGACAGCGCGGCGCTGCGGAGAGCGCGCGACGGCGGGCTGCCGCTGCGGAGGCGGTACGCTGTGGAAGCCGCGGACAGCGACGGCCGAGAGTAACAAGCAGGCGCGATGCATGCGAAGTGACTGCATCGGCCGCGCGCGATTTCTTTTCGGTGCTGTTCTCTCGAGGTTCTCGAGGTGGATATCCTTTGGCCGCGTTGGGGAGCGAGGATTGGTGTGACGCGATCCACGCAGGCGTGTTTTCTGGCGGCCGACCGTCAGTGCACGGAGTTGCCCCTTCTCCGACTGCCCCGGCTATAGTTCCCGAGGTCGTCGGGTGTGACCCCTGGCCCTGCGTCCCCCGAGCTGAGGGAGGGTGTAGAGGATGTAGAGTGTAGAGCGCTGTAGAGCTGTAGAGATGTAGAGCGCTCTGGAGCGCTGTAGAGCTGTAGAGCTCTACATCGGCTGCGTGACGAACTGCGTGCGTTGTAGAGCGATGTAGAGCGGCGCGATTTTGCTGTAGAGTTTGTTGTAGAGGCTCTACAGCCAAACCGCCGGGAAGGCAGTGACTCAAAGATGACACACAGAGAGTCACTCTGACGGCACACAACACCCTATAACTGCGTCATGACCAGCCTGCCATGCGTCGCCGGTGCCGCATTCGTCGCTGTGCTTCTTTAGCAGGCGGTGGACTGTCGGCTGCGAGGACGGTCGCATTTGCGCGAGGCGAGGCGAGCATTCAGGCGCGTTGCATCTTGCATGCGCCAGCAACAACTTCAACCTGGGCCGAGCGTTTTTGATCTCTGGATCTGTGGGGGGCCGAGCCGCTTCGGGGTGGCGGGCGGGCGGGCGTTTTGAAAAACAGAAAACAGAAAACAAGAGGGGGCCCGGGGGCCCGGGACCCCACTGGGAGTAGAAAATACGCCCAAGGGGGCCCAAGGAGGCGGCGCGGGGAAGCAGCATCAGGTGAGAGCAGGAAGGATGGCGCTTAGGGTCGGCTTTGAACAAGGGTTTCCAGGTTTTAGATCAGTATTGGTGTCGGCACACATCCCCACATTGAGGTCAGCGGCGCGCAGTGCCTCTCTCGCAGGCTGATTTTGGCTGTTTTCGAGCTTGTTTTTGTTTTCAGTCTAGGGGGCCCGACCCCCTCAGAGGCGGCGGGCGGGCGCCCACAGATCCAGAGATCAAAAACGCTCGGCCCTGCTGCTCCACGAGACGTTCGGCGGCGGCTTCTCGCCCACCGCCGTTCTCAAGCTGCGCCGCCTCGCGCGCAAAGTCGCGCGCGGCAGCGTTGACCGCACGGCCTACTCGCCCAAGTACTCGCTCTCTTTTATGTCCCACCATGCAGAGCGCATCTCTCTCTCTGTTGTGCGAGGCGTGAACCGCGCCATTCGCTCTCACCTGGCAACCCTGTCTGCACGTCTCGCGCGCGCGTGAACAGGGCTCCAGGCCCCAAATGACGTGTGAGTGTTAGAGTTGTTTGGTATTGCTAAAAATCTCGCTCGCAAGCGGGCGCAGGATTTGGCGCCCCGGAGGAGGGGGGGGGGCGCGTGGGGCTGTCCCAAGGTTGAAATTTCGGCTGTACATGTAATTGCCCATGTGTGTACGTGGACATCGCGAGGAAAAGAATTCCGCGTTTTTTTCTCTCGCGCGAAGGCGGCGCCCTCGCCATGCCAGTCAGGCACATCGTCATGTTTGGCATCAAAGAGGGCACGACAGAAGCACAGATCTCGACACTGAAGACAGGGCTAGCGGGGCTGAAGAGCAAGATCCCGGAGATCAAATCGTTCGAGCTAGGATTCGACCTGAAGCTGAAGGGCGGGCAGAGTGCGCGCCGTAGCCGGCCCGTCGGCCCCACCACGTCATGCGCTCACACCCTCTACCGGCCGCCTGCGCTCGCAGCTCACCCAGCCGGGAAGAACCGCTCTTGCTCCTGGGCGCCGACATTCGATACTAAAGAAGCCTACGAGGTGTACGAGACTCACGAGGCCCACATCGAAGTGATCAACGACTGCATCAAGCCCATCATTGAGCCTGGTACGCGAGCCGCCATCCAGTACGAGATGGAGGAGTAGGGTACGTGTGGCAGCGCGGCCACTTCGAATCGTCACGCTACAAGCTGCGCACCCGTCGCAAACCACACTGTCAGTGTTTACGCGATCCCGCGCAACCGAAACACTTGGTTATTTTTTAACGCCAAAGCCGATGTTCCTGCGTGCCAAAGGGGGTGTAGTACTGACATCCCTTTCTCTCTCTCTCCCTCTGCGGCGCGGTGTGTCGGGCGCTCGGGCCCCTCTCCGAGAGCCACGGTCCGGCGCACGGACGCTCGCCAGCTCGCCACACAGTCACCTCTCACCTCAGAGGTGTGCGCCGGGACCTCTGAGACGATCTATATCACACACACCGGTGCCGCACGCACACTCCCCCGGCTCTACTTGAGCTTGTTGAGCTGCTGCGTGCGGTACACGTCAAAGGAGGGGAGGCGGCGGACGGACCCCTTGTCGACGAGCCACACCTCCTTGGCGACGCGGCCCACAAAGTACTGGTCGTGCGACACGAGCACGACCCCGCCCTCGAAGCTGTCGAGGCAGTCGGCCAGCGCGGCGACGGACTCGAGGTCGAGGTTGTTTGTCGGCTCGTCGAGGACGATGATGTGCGGCTGCGTGTATGAGACGGCGGCGAGGGCGACACGCGAGCGCTGCCCTCCGCTCAGCGCCGAGGAGGGGAGCGTCATCATCTCGGAGGTGACGCCGCAGCCGGAGAGGTGCGAGCGGAGCGCCTGCTCGTGCGCGTACGAGCCGTCGCCCGGGAAGCGCTCCATCAGGAACTGCAGCGGCGAGAGCGTGAGGTCGATCTGGTCGGCGTGGTGCTGGTTGACCAGGGCGATGCGGACGCCGCCCGCACTCACCACCTGGAGAAGCAAGAGAGGCCGAGTGGTGAGGAGCTCGAGTCGTGCGGAGGCTAGTCGGAAGCCGCCCCACCTCGCCCGCCGTCGGGGCGAGGTCGCCCAGCAGCAGCTTGACGAGCCTAAACAAGAATGGCGCAATCAAGAGAAGTGTGTGAGGCGAGGCTGCCCAGCAGCAGCTTGGACGCGCGCGTCGTCTTTCCGTTGCCGTTCTCGCCGAGCAGCACGATCCGCGAGCGAGCGTCGATGCCCATCTCGACGCCGGAGAAGAGGGGTGCCGCCGAGCCCGGGTAGCCAAAGGACACGCCCTTGACCTGCACGAGGAAGCCCGACACCTCGCCGCCAGCCTTGAGCGAGAGGGGAAGCTCCGCGTCCTCGGTCAGTGAGGCGGCCTGCTCGTCCAGCTCGCGCGCCTGCGGGGAGGTTCCAGGAGAGGTGTAGGAGAGGTGTAGGACAGGTCAGCGGCGCGGGCCCGAAGTGTCAACCAGCAGGCGTGTCATCGGAGGGGGGTGTCGACGGAGGGTGGTGTAGCAGCACGTGTCCGGTGGGTGTGTGGGGCGGCGGGTGGCGATCCGCTCCTCCTCCTCGAGCTTGTCGGCCATCTTCTCCTTCGACTTGAAGATCTTCATCTGCTTTGGCGTCGAGCCGAGCGGCTTGAACGCGCGCAGCTCCGCGATCATCCGCCGCTTCGACTCCATCTCCCGCTCGTGCGTCAGCTGCTGCTGCGCGCGCCGCTTCGCCCAACCAGAGTAGTTTCCGCGGCTCTGCGTCAGCTGGCGCGCCGCCCCGCTCACGTGCAGCGTGTCGGTCGCAACCTCGTCGGGCGAGGTGAGCCGAGGTGAGCCGAGGTGAGCCGAGGTGAGCCAGGGGCCGAGGTGGGCCGAGAGAAGAAGTGCGGGACTTGGTTGCGAGAGGTTGTGCGGGGTGGCCGCCTCGTCGAGGAAGACGCGGTCGTGCGAGACGACGACCGCCATCCGCTGCTGCCACGTCGGCGAGGTGGAGAGCTCCCTCGCGAGCCACAGCACCGCGCCTGCTCACAGGGGAGGAAAGGGGGGGGAGGGGAGGGAAGCTCACAGGGGGGGGCGCCGCCTCTCCTCGCGGCGGGGCGAGAGCAGGAGCACCGATCGAGAGGTGGTTGGTCGGCTCGTCGAGCAGCAGCAAGTCGGGCCTGTTCACAGCTGCAGCTGTGAAGAGGCGCCGTGCGCCGCTGACTCGAGCAGCAGCAAGTCGGGCCTCGCGAAGATCGCCGCGGCGAGGGCCGTCCGCACGCGCCACCCGCCGGAGAGCGCCTCCATCCTCCTCGCGCGCAGCTCGGCCGAGAAGCCCAAGTTGGTGAGCAAGGACGTGGCGCGCTCCTCGGCGGTGTGCGCCTAGACGAGGTGCGGCCGAGGTGCGGCCGAGGTGCGGCCGAGGTGCGGCCGAGACTCAAGCCCTCCTCGGCGGCGTCGCGCCTCGATGCGCTCGAGCAGTGAGACATACCTCGGCTAGACCTCGGCTAGATCTCGGCTAGATCTCGGCTAGATCTCGCGGGCGCCTCGATGAGCTCGAGCCGCGAGCGCACCTCCTGCAGCCGGCCCGTCTGCAGGGGACGTGTCGCGGACGCGTCAGGGACGCACGGCCGCGCCCGCGTGCCGCGCCTCCAGCAGCTGCCTGCTCGTCCGACGCCGCGGCCGCCAGCTCGAGTGCCTCCAGCTCCTCTGCCTCGGCGAGCAGCAGCCTGCAGGGGAGACGAGAGGGACACTGGTCAGCCGACGTGGCGTGGACATGGCTGCTCGACCCGCCGGCGCCGCAGCCTGCGCTCGACGTCTGCGTGCACCACCGCCTAAGGAAGGGACGTGTCGTGGACGCGTCACGGACAGAGCCGCGCGGGCGGCCGACTCTTGAGGCGTTGGCCGCCACCTGCGCCGGCGTCCAGCCGAGCCGCTCCTCGTCGAGCTGCACCTCCTGCGAGACGTAGTGCACCTATTCATTATCAATTCGTAATTAGATTCTTAATTAGCACCTCCTGCGAGACGTAGTGCACCGTCAGCGCGGGCGGGATGTCGCCCACCAGCCGCGATGCGAGCGCGCGCAGCAGCGTCGACTTGCCCTTCCCGTTCCGGCCGATGAGCGCGTAGATCCGGCCGCGCACCAGCGTGAAGGACGCCTTCTCCGCTCACGAGTCCAGTGAGTCGCGTGTGAAGGACGCCGTCTCGCGCCGGCCCCTCCCGTGTCTACATCTCGGCTGCGTCTCGGCTGCGTCTCGGCTGCATCTCGGCTGCGTCTCGGCTGCCTCTCGGCTGCCTCTCGGCTGCCTCTCGGCTGCCTCTCGGCTGCATCTCGCGCCTTCTCGAGCAGGTCCCTCCCGCCGCCCGGGTTGGGCAGCGAGAAGGGCTTCGCCTCGACCGCGCCCGTGTACGCGCCCTGCTTCGCCCGCAGCTCCACCGCCGCCGTCGTCGCCGCCGCAAGCGCGGCGTCCTCCGCCGCTCGCTGCGCCAGGACGCGGCTGTGCGCCGCGCGGACTGCCCTCAGCTCGGCCTCCTGCCGCGCCTTGCGCTTCCTTCGCACCTCAAGCGCCTCATCCAGGTCGACCAGGCGGCCGCCGAGCTCGTCCTTGGACACGTCCCGGAAGAGGTGCGAGTCCGACTCGGCGATGCTCGTCTTTTGCTCGAGCACCTTGAGCTCAGGTTCGGGCGCCGCGGCCGTCTCCGCCGCGTCGGCGGCTCCCGCGCATGACAGCGCCGCAAAAAGCTCCCGGCACTTGGCAGTCGCCTCCTCTTCGGTGGCGACGTGCTCGGTCGACAGCAAAAACTCGGCGACGGTCGCCTCCATCGCCTCCTGCTCCTCGTCGCCCTCCAGCATCGTCACGAGATAGTCGAGCACGTCCTCATCCAGTCCCGCGAGGAGGGTCGATGCCGTGTCTCGCGCGGACGGCATGGCTGAGGTTCAGCGTTGCTGCGTTGCTGCGGCGTGCGAGTGTGGCCACAGTGCGGCGTGGCACGGGACTGGCGCGCACTGGCACTCACACAGGTACGCCGGAAAAAGAATTCTGCAAAGAGGTGTGAACGGAGAGAGCAAACTCCTGGCAGCTCCCACAGCCGAAATGTGCGCCAGCTGCCCGCTCACCTGTGTCACGCCGCCGCGCACGCACCTCGCTATGTGCTCGCGCGAGCTCCCGCCCGAGCCTCCAGCTCGGTTTCCCACTGCTGCGGAGCCGATCGCTTTTCCTCGGCGCTCGCGTCGAGCCGAGCTCTCGGCACTCTACGGCGGGCGTCGCTGTGCGGGGCGCCCGTTTCCTGCTGGCCCGAGCGGAAAGCTCCACGTGCCCGCGCGAGCTCCGGGCCGAGCCTCCAGCTCGGCGTCCCACTGCTGAGGAGCCGATCGTCGTCCGTCGGTGCTCTCGAGGAGCCGAGCTCCTTGGCCTGCGGCCGGCGACGCTGCAGGACGGCGCGCGCGCACGCGGGGGGCGTTGTTCGGGCGGGC